CTTCCTTTCCAAGGTGCACTGTCCTCTGGAGCTCGTATTCTCCTTCCTGCTCCGAGGACCATCCGTGGCTTGGTGGCTGTGGCGTTCTCCACGCCCTCCTCTCATCGAGGGGGGTGCGGGGTGTCGGGTGCATAGAGCGAGGCTCGGTCTCGTGAGCCTGAACTGGGTTCTCACACGGAGAACGTTGATGCTCTAGATCCCGCCTGCTCGGTGCCCTCCTAAGTATAGGGGATCTGCCTTCTGCCTCACGGCCTAATCCTAACCCTGCCTGCGTAGGCCCTGGAACAGTCGTAGGCCTACAGCATACATGACCCTGGGACGGGGTAAAAAAATCGCGTATTCGGTTCCTTAGACTATCCATCTTACGTAACTGGTTTACTGTCTCAAAGTCTCGCTCTCCTGCCACAGCCGCAATTTTAAAACAGAAAAGCAAAGAATCCCGGACGAGCCCCCAATAATTCTGTAGTGGCCCTAGGGGTAGCCGCTATATGAATTATGTGCGTGTGAATGCACAATTGTTTTTCGGGATCATTTCTTGCTCCCGGTGGCAAAGCGGGACTGTGTTGCGTGGCAGCAGGTGGCAAAACAATGAGACAAATATCCTCAACGCAAGATACTTAATTATACGGAACCGGTAGTTTTATTGCTAGTATACACACTACAGTTATACAGTATCGTATCTGGTAGTTACTCGACGCGTGATGCGTGCTCTGAATGCGTGGCGTACTATTTGTTGTGACTATAATATTTTATGGCAGAAGGCCGGTGAACGGTTACGTGCAATAATATAGGTGCTTCAGTGCGAACGCGAACCCGACGTATCTATGCAGATGTCGGGAGTGAGAATAAGACGTAACGGCACCGGCTGTCGGCGTTCTCCTCTCTCCTCTCTGCGTCGCGCCGTTTCTCGTTCCTTCTTCGTTTTTCTGTCGTCCGTCTGCCCTCTTCTTTCTTCTGTCCTCGGTCTTCTTTCTTCTATCTCCTGCCTTCTCTCTTCTATCTTTTGTCTTCTTTCTTCCTCCTTCTTGCTTCTGTCTCCTCTCCCTTCCTTCTTTCTTCTCTCTTCTTTCTTCCCCCTTCTGCTCTCTTCTTTCTTCTTTCTTTTATCTTCTCTCTTTCTTCTATCTCCTATCGTCTTTCTTCTTTCTACTATTTTATTCCTTCCTTCTTCTTTCTTTTTTCTTCTTCTTTCCTCTGTCCTCCTTCTTCTTCCTTTGCTCGACTATTTTATTTCTTCCTTCTTCTTTCGTCTATCTTCCTTCTTCTTCCTTCTCTCTTCTTTCTTTCGTCTTCTCTCTTCCTCCTTCTTTCTTCTTTCTTCTTTCTTTCTTCTTCTTCCTTCTCTCTTCTTTCTTTCGTCTTCTCTCTTCCTCCTTCTTTCTTCTGTCTTCTTTCTTTCTTCTTCTTCCTTCTCTCTTCTTTCTTTCGTCTTCTCTCTTCCTCCTTCTTTCTTCTGTCTTCTTTCTTTCTTCTTCTTCCTTCTCTCTTCTTTCTTTCGTCTTCTCTCTTCCTCCTTCTTTCTTCTGTCTTCTCTC